AGAAAAGATCCCCAAACCGTGATAAAAAAAAAAAAGGGGGGGGGAGGGGGAGGAGGAGGAGGGAAGGACAGACGAAAAAGGAGCTGTTTTACTGAAGTAACACACACTTAGCCTTCCAAGCATAAGAGTAACACCCCTGCAATTGCTCACAGCCAACCGCACGTTTTGCCAACGCCAGGCAGTTAGTTACGTTTAATGGGATATATGCTCCTGTGTATTTTTGCCCTGATGGTACTATTTAGATGGAAATTGGAAAGGTTGGATCAAGGGAGGTTTTTTTTTTTGTTTTTAATTATTAGCTTAGCGTAACTTTCATAATCTTCTGCAACATGTTTGCGTTTAAATAAATGAGTGACTAGTTAAGTGCCAAATAACAAATGTTTGCCATTTACTCATTGCCAAAGGCATTTTGGGATGTTGATAATAGGGGGAAGCCTAGCAGATTTGTTTTCCTGAATGATTTTTAGGACTTTTTAGTAAGAATGCTCAAAAGAGACTCTGTTATCTACATATCAGATAGAAAAAAATAACTTAAAACCTGTCCAATTATGTAATTACCATTAGAAAAGAAAAAAAAATACTGTAAAGAAGTTATTCTGTTCTACTGGATATTTAAAATGCTTTATAAAATCCCTATTTAGATAATCACTCAGCAGACCAGAAAGGTTCTTGTTTACAACAGTGCCAGGGGTAAACAGAACACTGTTGTTTGGGGTATGTGAAGTGTGGAGGGACTGCAAACCTTGTATTCCAGCTTTCAGGCTAATGACCTTTCTGGTGAAAGCTGCAGTTGTGTTGCAGACTATAAGGTCAATTTGACGTTTACTATTTTAAAATAACACACCAGAAAAAAAAAATGCAGAACCACAACGGATCCAGTCTAATTAGGTCATCTATACAAAATTATTCTCTTAAGTATATGATGGCAGGGTGTTATAACTCCTAGGGAAATGTGACATCCAGTGACAATTTTGTAAATAGAGTAGTCAACACCTGCTCGAGGATGTGATGAAGTAAAAAAAAAAAAAAAAAAATCAATCCAACATAAGTCATGCCAGTTCTGTTATGGACTGCAGCATCAATAACCTACAAGATAAACAGCTGTCCAGCAAACCATAAAATGCTCAACTAAAATGGCTTCACAAAAGCAATTATCCAGATTATGGGGACATAGTAAATCAAAGGAATTCATGCTTACCGCAGATCCAACATAGTATCATGTGTGTGAGTAAAAAAGGAAGAAAAATGAATGCAATCTGAAATTGTTTCATGGGATAAGCTTACACAGCAAGTGTCATAAAGTAAATTGGTTCAGGCTCAGGTCTGTTTTAACAAGATTTAGCAAGAATGTAACTCTCTGTAAACACTAAGGACTGAATGATGGTTCAAGGCCACCTTGGTGACTCCTACACTTCCTCTGCCTTAAATCAGAATGGTACCTTTGAAAATCAGGAATTTGCTGGTCAGTTTTTGGCCTGGTGCCAGCTGCATTCCTCACTGCTAGCCAGCTGAAGTGGGGAGGCAATAGGGATTTGAGTACAGAGATGCATTCCATCCATTTTAATTCTATAAATTCTAATAGATTTCTTACAACTAATGATACAGAAGTACAAAAACTCTGGTACCACAGCAAGTTTTAAAATACGATAGCTGGAGAAAAGGGAGGAGGGAATCATGAGCTGGATGCCCTTTAAATTTTTGCATACTGCAGACAGCAAACATCGGCACATCAAGGCCCTAATTAAAAACACTCTTCTTGCAAGCAAAATATTATCCTAATTTATTAATCTTATAGATGAGGGAAATCACACAATTTGCCAGAGTTCTGTTACAGACTCAATGGCACACACACGAACAAAGTTTCCTGCTCTTGTCTCTTAGCTACAAAACCATAGACATGCTAGTGCCTTAAAGCCACCCAAAAAGAGAGAATTAAGAGAGTCACAAGAGCCACATTTTATCTAAGCAAGGTCTTAAAAGGTGAGGGAAGGCACCACGTGAGTCAACTGCAACTTGCAAACCATGACGTCAGTAACATCTCTCCTAATGCAATGGTTTAGATGGAGCCTAAAGCTGAAGTGCCTAATTCCTTGTGATGAAGGGTATTACTTGGTAATCCAATGCTTTATTCATAGGGGTTTGAGAGATTAAGGGAGAATTTAAGATATTGCAATGAAACAGATATTTTTGTATGCTACAAAGACATAAACTGCAGTCTTGTTTAGCTGTTTTTATTATTTCCTAAGTTTTTGAAGGCTAAAAAAAGATTTTATTTAATTTTTTTTTATGGTGTCAGTCTAGAACATCCTAACTTCAGTGACAACAAGACATCAGGTGGAAAGGTTTCAAAGATTTTTATGATTATAATTGTGCCCAGAAGTATGCTAGAGACATCATAGATCAAAAGAAATGTTCCTAGCTCCAACTATCTTGCAAACTAAATA